AAAAAAAAAAAAAAAAAAAAAAAAAAAAAAAAAAAGATAGCTGCATACTACCAAGAAAGATGAAATGAAATAGATGAGAGAGGAGAAGGACAACCGCCTGAAGAACATCAGGCAGAGACAACAAGAGACTATCAGCTGATCTTCCACGACTGGACCAACATAGATCGTGGTGAGAGGCTACGCCCCGCTCAAAAGTTAGCAGACACCTTCCCCCCTCACCCCTTGGCCTTAGAAGAAATTTCTCCCCCTCCAAGAGGAGACACATAAAGTAGGTATGGGGCGCTGGACCCGGTTTCCAGCCGGTTTTTGGTTTGGACACATAGATCAGGTATGGGACGCTGGACCCGGTTTCCAGCATTGTACCGTCACTCTCACTGAGGACTGTGTTGATCCAGCCTTTTTCAAACACATATTATTGCAAGGTGCAAAACACAATAGGCGCCATGAGGATAGTAGGTAGGATCATGGCAGAGGCTAGGGGATGGAGGGAGATTCCACTGGTGCCCCCCGGTGGTTCCCCCCCCAATACCCGACCCTACTGCAGGTTAGGTACAGAAGAGCAGATTGGATATGGGACGCTGGACCCGGTTTCCGGCACATTGGCGCCACCCTCATTGATGTACTGTTTTGCAAAGATGTGACGCTGGACCCGGTTTCCAGCAGGTGTTGCTCCCCACCAATAGATGGAGCAGCCCGCTAGGCAAAGCGTCAATCCCGGTGGTTCTCTTACCACCACCAGGGTAGAGGTCTTGCACAAGGGCCTTTCAAAAAAAAAAAAAAAAAAGCTTACCTTTTTGAAAAAAAAAGAAAAAAAAGAAATGGAGAAAAGGGGTCTCGCCGCACCACTGTCCAAATGTGCAAAATGAGAAGGAATCTTCCCTTAGAACGTGGAAAGAAACACCCTCCGTATTCCTGTCTTTGGGCCTCGCTGCACAAAAAGACAAAGAATATGGCCATGTATCTTTCCATGTTCTAACGGAAGATTCGTTCTCATTTTGCACATTTGGTGAGTACTGCAGCGAGGCCTTTTTTTTTTTTTTTTTTTTTTTGGAGAAGCTGACAATTCTTATTGCAAATTAATAGTGGTCGAGGCCGAGGACCTCACAATTCTTTCCGGTAGTGGAACCAGAAGCTTGCTGGAAACCGGGTCCAGCGTCCCACGACCACATCATGTCCCTGAAAAAAGCTCCTCAAAATAACCTTGGAGCTCAACAAGGTTGGCTGATTCTACGGAAGATAAAACAGGTTCTATTCCTGCAGCCTTTCTGATTGTGACGGAGTAAACTCACTGGGCTAGTGAGATCCTCCTTCCTAGCTCTTGCCTGGAAGCAGCCAGTCAGCGATTCTGCTCTTCCGAATGCTAGCCATCACTGCCCCTTTGCAGATGTTGCATACTGTAACGTGCAGACCAGAACAAGAACCGACCTTTCAATACAAAGTATAAGAT